CAGGTCAGTTAGGTGGCCCCTGGTAAGACAGTGACAGGTCAGTTAGGTGGCCCCTGGTAAGACAATGAAAGGTCAGTTAGGTGGCCCCTGGTAAGATAGTGACAGGTTAGTTAGATGACACCTGGGGTAAGACAGTGACATGCCAGTTAGATGACACCTGGTAAGACAGTGACAGGTGAGTTAGATGACACCTGGTAAGACAGTGACAGGTGAGTTAGATGACACCTGGTAAGACAGTGACAGGTGAGTTAGATGACACCTGGTAAGACAGTGACAGGTCAGTTAGATGGCACCTGGTAAGACAGTGACAGATCAGTTAGATGATACCTGGTAAGACAGTGAGGGGTCAGTTAGATGACACCTGGTAAGACAGTGACAGGTCAATTAGGTGGCCCCCGGTAAGACAGTGACAGGTCAGTTAGGTGACACCTGGTAAGACAGTGACAGGTCAGTTAGATGACACCTGGTAAGACAGTGACAGGTCAGTTAGGTGACACCTGGTAAGACAGTGACAGGTCAGTTAGATGACACCTGGTAAGACAGTGACAGGTCAGTTAGATGACACCTGGTAAGACAGTGACAGATCAGTTAGGTGGCACCTGGTAAGAAATGGCTGTGTGAAAACTGGGAGAGGGTGGGGGCTGCAGAAAATTAGTTCACATTAACATAATAAATTTTACATTACAGTCATGGTAACCCCCCTCTTCAGAGTTTTCAAATGCAGCTTAGACGGTTGAGAAATAATGTGAGTATTATATAATAGTTAATAAAGAATAATCATTTTTTATTTCCAACAACTGATGATATAAAATGAAAAAGAAATGAAGATTAAATCCATAAATTATATCATACTTACTGGGCGAAGAGACAGTGGTTTTGTGTATTTTTGGTAAAACTTGGATCCCCATATCATAACGAGATATAATACAAATACAGGGGTAGACGGAAGACTGAGAAATGTAGAAAACACTTGATAAAATGTGAACACTTTCATGGTTGATTCCAATAGGATGAAGTCCAGATTATATCTGCAACAACAAAATAAGAATAATCAAAGCAATAGTATATAACCATATTGTCTATTAAAGTGGGAGGGTCGTCACCTGTGCGCACGTGGGAATTGAGTTCCAAGCGACGATAAAAACACACGCTAAATCGCAAGACTCACGCTTCTTTGTAAACAATGACACGCTATGGGCATCTGACGCATGTGTAGGTGACGACTCCCTCGCTTCAAGCCTTAAAAAAAATATCTGTTTCTTATATCATTGTAATTTTTAAAAGAGGGAGTTCTTTTTTTAATTTTGTTTTTGACATTCCTTATTAGAAAAAAAAAAAGGTAGATGCAACTAATGCTGTAATTTTGAGTAGCATGGATTAGGCTAAACTTGTTGCTATTGGTGATGATGTTCTAAAAACTGGTTTTGTTTTTGACAGATGTTTCTCCCCGGCTTCAGAAAAGCATATTTTAATTTTAGATTGGTTTATGATAGGGTAAATTATTGTTAAACATAGTAAACTTAAGTAAATAGGGTTGGTGTATGCACTAATCTGCTCTATTCATAGCATATATGTTTAGATATATGACAGTTGTGTAATTATGTTAAATTTGTTTTCAGTATAAATTTGGTTAATTGCTGCACATATATATAGATTTGCCCGTTCAGTTTTCTCTGTTGTAGTCACCAGTATATACCGCCACCTAGTGGCAACAGATTCTTAGTCTGCTTCAGTATTTTTGTTTTCCCAGCTGTTTTATATTTTTCAACCCTCCCCCACCACTTCCCCATTTCCTTTTTTTTCATTTCCCATACACCTTTTCTGAATTGTAACACTTTTAACAGCTTTGTGAATTTAGTCAGTTTCAGTAATTTCTTACTTCCCTATTGTAGTTTGGGGTACTTTGAGGCCTATGTTCAGGCTTAGTTTTTATTAAAGTACCTCCTTTCTGCTAAACAATATGTGTGATTCAGTTATCGTTTCTCTAGCATATTGTAGCAATTACGACCAAAATAATGAACCAGTATGGAATTAAAGTAAATGACTAAGCAATTTGATCTATTACTTTCTTGTTTTATCTTATTGGAGGCGGGTGCTAGACATCTTGACCATTTTTCATTGGACAACTCGACCCAGTATCCCAAGCCATCTCGACCCACCTCTATTTCAGACGAATCGTCGCCCCGACCTGATCTCAAGTGTCGTACTTTTCCCAGTGCGCGTAGACCACAGTGTTTGTTTCACTGATTTATTATTCTTTGCTGCTTTCGCTGTTCATTTCACAGCACGTGACCCCTGAAAGTGATGTCATTTTTGGATTGATCCATTGCGCTTGAGATTGGTTCGACCATGTTGTCTGTGTTCAATGTTTCGAATCAATAGATGTCGTTCATTCAAACACAGCATTCTTATGCAGCACGATACACAAGATCGCGGGAATTTTAAGTTATCAAGGGCAACATTATCAACGTTGAACTAGATAGAGGTTTCGCGTCGCCACACTGAGATAGGGTCGGGTCGATGCAGTGGGTCGAGATGCCCAGGGTGTCTGGGTCGAGATGTCCAATTTGGGTCTAAGTGTCTTGGGTCCAGATGTCTAGAGATCTTGGAGGCTCAGACTGAGCCCATGCATACTTTGTAGCAAATCTGTTGGTGTAATGCCAGTAGTACACATAAATGCATGAAGTAGCTAATTTGGTGTTTTGAATAGAAAGAATGAACAAAGTCCAGGGACAAAGTTCACTTTCTCCTCAGCAGGATTGACCACAGACGTTCGGTACCTTACAACAAATAAGTAGATAGATATGTCTAGGGAATGGGAACACAGCCACCAGGTATTAAACGATAAACCATGAGATCATTGCAGGGCGGCATTTCTATGAGCTTGATGATCGAAGGATAACACGAAATACTGTTATAGAAATGATTAAAAAACGCCCCAAATTATCGCATAAATCGTAGAAGCGGTAATTTTCACAATCCCCCTAGGGACTGTCCAGCAAGACTTCGGTAGCTATCCGCATTCAACATAACAAGTACCTGTGTTTGTTTTCGCCCTGGCATCAGAATACAGCGTCAAAATCATTGGTGATTTGAAACTGAAAGCGAACAAATGCCAGAGTTAGCGGAGATTCATACTCACATTTGTTTCTTCGCTGTGATCGGAATGGTACTGTATGTTTATAATACTTTAACGAGCACCAGTAAAATTACGACGAACTGGCTACTAAACTTTCCACTTTCCACTTTCGAGTAATTACATGTAAATATCACGTTCTCGTAAACAGCGCCATCTACCAGCATTGAATCCTGGGAAACAGCCACGTTGCGCGCATGCTCAAACTTTGTGCTCTCTTGAACGAGAGAAAATGGCCAAGTATCTTCGAGGATTTTTGGGCCCACAGAGTCCATCAGCACAACCAACCGGAGCCGATACGGTCAGTATACACACTTTATTAATTGTAGTTCATAACCAAGCAACAACGTGACTAAATTTAAATGCTTGCTCGCAATCGAGCTAGTATTATGTCGAAACAGGAAGTCGATTTCTGATACAATACTAATCTACAGTACGGCCCACTCGACGTTTCCGGTTTTAGTTTACCTGTCCCGTTTAGACACGTGTAAATAAACGATTCTGCAGTATGGATAACTTTATTTATGATTTTGGTTGCATTTATATTCTGTTGACGTTGAAACCATGCACACTAACGAACTGTGATGTTGGTAGTCGAGTTGATGACGTTGATGTGACAAGTCAATAAATATTATTACGTAATTTCGACTTTAAGCTGCTGCATATTAGGCACATAGAAATAATGAAACTGATAAAGACTTGTGTTATAATGATTATGTACTTAAGCAAAATGTTTTCATTAAAATATAAGGATAGAAGGAAATTTCAGAAGTCCACAATTTAAATTGATCAAAATACCAATGTAACTAGCTGAATCTTAGAACTAGAAGAATGATTTCATTTATGTGTTCTATAGTGTTAAAACATACATATTTGTCATCTGTGAACGATAAAAATAACTGCCATATGTTATTAAAAAAACATTTTAATGCAATCTGTTATTATTCGAAATATTTGCGGCGTTTGTGAAGGATTTGATTTTATGAAAGTCATCCTTAGTAATGAATCCTGCACAAGATGGCAATTTCATAATTTTACTTGACCTGTGCTATTTGTGAAATTATACTGGTATATGCCTGTATATTAAAGTAATACATGTTTTTACATAAATGACAGATGTGTGTCTGTGATAGTTTCAAACTTGTCTTCATTACGTTAAAATACTGTGGAATACTTTATTTTCGCTGGAATTAATTTTCGCTGAAAACGTTTTTGGGCGTTTTGCTTGGAATTTATTTTCACTGATTTTTGATGAGTTTAATGTGAAATATAGGAAAAGAAGTATATTCGCTGGATTTTATTTTTACGGAATCATCCCTTCAGCGAAAATAGCGAAAATAAATTCCAAGCGAAAATAAAGTATTCTACAGTAACTGTTATGCTAATTGCAGGGTTGACAGGAGTAGACAATCCCATGCAATAAATTAGGTAGAAAGATGTATTATACAGGGGCTGTTAAAAAAATACTGTCCAAAAACTAGAGAAATTGAACAATAAGACATTATGGGGTTCCCATCTATCGATTTCTAGCTTTTATAGACTGTCCTCAAACGTTGATGAATAGAGAAAATTTGTTATGGTTCAACGACAATGTTCATTCTTGTAGTTCTTTAATTAATCAACATATGTGAGAACAAAAAATTTGCAGTCTGAGAACTGGCAAATTGAATATATATCAACGATGTTACATAGTGTTATTGTGTTTTGCAGGTAGCTCGTTTGGTTGATAGAGTTCATTCATCAACGTTATTGGATGACAGAAGAGATGCAGTCAGAGCGCTCAAAGCTCTGTCCAAGGTAAGTGTCCTGAGAGAGAAATCAAAAAGAGATGCAATCACAGCACTTAAAGCTCTGTCCAAGATAAACAATTTGAGTGGAATCATTCATCACATACCATTTTCACAAGTACTGTATTTGTAATCTCTTAATGAATAAACGCAGATAATTAATCAGCTTTCATTTTATAAATGAAAGGCATGGGTTGTCTGCTTTGTTCTTGTCGATAGAAATTCCTCCTCGACCTTTAGAGATAATTTAAAAGTCGTGTAACTACGTACATGTACAT